AAGTAGTCGCATTCCCTACGGAACTGACTGTGCCGTGATGTGCAGATGCCGCAGATGGTGTTGTAGAGGACTTATTCAGACGGACAGTAGGTGTCATTATCCTGGTGTTGGTTTTTGCCGATTTTAATTTATTCAGTCTTCGCTGCAGGGGTGTGAGGTCTGGCGAAACGGAGGAGCGCCATTTACGGCAGAATTCTCTAATTATCTCCCTACTCGACAAGATAAAATCGACTTCTATCATGGAGAATAGGGTAACTAGTATCGGTGCATTACGGCTAAGCGAGCGAATTCGCTTAGCTTGTGCGACACTGAAACTCAAGCCACAACATTGAAGGAACAAATGCGCTCCCTACATAGCAGATAAGTGGCTCGGAATGTTTCGCAGTACGAAATTATGCTTGCGTTTAATTCTTTGCTCAGTTTCCGAACTGATTACCCCAATAAGTTCAAAAGCTTGTTCAATTAATTTTTCAGAAGTGCTGTTTATGTCGCCATAAATCAACTGGTCGACTATTTTGCCGGCTGATGGCCTGCTACGACTGGCAGAGGCGTATTTTTGGACGACTGAAGGGTCAAGAGGTCCTACATGTACTAAAGGGATTTGTGAGTTAATCAGATCTGCAGACGGCGAAGAATATAGGCTGGCACCTGCAATGTCTTCAGTCACGATTTTAGCACCCAGAGACGGTGGGGAGGTCACAAGCTTTCGCCTTTTAGCACGTGCTCTGCGGGGCATTACAGACAAGAAAAGTTTTTCGTTACAGAAGAAGGATCAAAACTTTGCCAACGTACGGAAAGGCGCACTGAATAGGAAGTACTATTGTTATTTAACTACGAAAAGAAAGAGATAGTAGGGAAAGGAGTCACTACAAAGATTTGTTTTACAAAATCCGACTATTTTGCCAGACTGTCAAACAAAACTGGGAAAAATATTACCTTATATTGAAAGGTGACTTTTAAAAGGGGCTCAAGTAAAAAACAGGCATTAATTGCTTAAGAATATCCAGATAGATGCAAAGCTTCACTTATCTTTGAAATTGAGCTGCGCGACTTGACCCTGAGGCTTTCGCCCTTGAGCTCCCTATTTATATCGATAAACAGAAATGGAATCAATAATTACATCAGCAAATGCGGAACTTGAAAAGTTAGCGGTATGTGTGAACCAGGCGCAAACTGCCGCCGCTAAAACAATCGTGCTTATGTACAGTAGTTTCTCAGCAAATGGGCATCTAGTCTACGCTTAAAGGATTCGACAATTTCGGAAAGGGAGTCCGTTCCATGCCCCAATGACGCTGTGAGAGAAAGGCGTTCCGTCGGACGTCCGGAGGAGACAGCTTCCTCTACAGTTTGAAGGGATGACCACGCAGACGGTCATTCCCGGTCAATTCGAATAATTCATCAAAGTCTAGGGCGCACTCACGGCCTCTGACAATCCTGTAGGTTTGAATGGGATCGCCGCGCAGTTGCGTGTAATTGAGAGGAGACAAATTTAGTTCGGTCAGCCTGGTTTCGTAAGGCAGATGATTAAGATTCTTGGCCATCTTCGTAGCCATCGCCTGTACTCTTTCCAGTCGTTGATAATCTTTCTTCAACCACGGTCGCCAGACCTGGACTGCATACAGTAAGCGAGACCGGACGAATGCCCATAGGTTTTCCCGAACAGCTCTTTATCGATCTGCACACATCCTCGTCTCAGCCTAAATAACACCCTTATAACACTTTTGGCTACCCTTTGGCGCTGTAATGATGGTTTCAGCGAGGAGGTCATTTGGACGCAGAGGTCTTTCTGTACCACAGCATTTGAATGGGGCTGCCCACACAGGACGCATTGCAAGGAATCGTCCTCCTCACTGGTCTTTTTGGTGCGGAGTCTCAGGACCACACATTTGTCCACATTAAAATTAAGGAGCCAAAGACCTGACCAACTGTTCAGGCGGTTAAGACTGTCTTGAAGTGCGTACCTGTCTGCGTCAGATCTGATGACTTTCCACAGTTTAACATTGCCAGCAACCATGATGGCGCTGCATCCCATGTCGTCGACGCAGTCGTTAATGTAATGTATGAATGTATGTTGAAAAGCAGGCATCTCAAGAGATGTGTATGTATGTGGAAAGACAGGCATCCCAAGGGATATAATTACGAATATGGCATTCTTTGGGAAACAGTAAACTTTATTGTGTAAATTTTGGAGACTGGTTCCCAATCTCGTCTTCAAACAACGGGCGTGCAAAGGCAATTAACTTCTAGACTGAGTCTGGCCAAGAATTCTACGATTGGTTAAAGTCATCTTCTCGAGATTGGTTGGATCGTTTTGAATCTGTCCTTAACGATTTGTATCTGGCATCTGGATCGGTATGCCGGTTGATGCATGCCTCGTCTGAGTGCATTACGTCAAGAATTTGATGCCCTTTCTTCTGTCTCAACCCGTATTCATGAACACTAGTCAGCGGTAAACAGACGCGCCCATCTATCCCAGGTGACCATACTCATACTTGACATTGGGCACAAATTTGCATGGGGAAACACTCGCATTTTTGGCGCCTGCCAATAAGGAAGGGCAGCGAATTCATGGAGACAATGCACTCAGACGAGGCATGCATCAACCGGCATATCGATCCAGATGCCAGATACAAATCGTTAAGGACAGATTCAAAACGATCCAACCAATCTCGAGAAGATGACTTTAACCAATCATAGAATTCTTTGTCAGACTCGGTCTAGAAGTTAATTGCTTTTGCACGCCCGTTGTCTGAAGACGAGGTGGGGAACCAGTCTCGAAAGTTTACACAATAAAGTTTACTGTTTCCCAAAGAATTCCATATTCCTAAATGTATGTATGTATGTCGAAGACGGCTTAGTTACCTAACCTTGAAGGGTGGCGGCCCAGGATATATGGAGTATCACGTGCTGCCCTTCTAGCTCAAAAGTTCTGTAAGCGTGTGGTATGCCATTATGTACAAGCGATGGCCTTTACAGCCTGGTATGCGCTGGCAGTTCCCTGACACCTGGTTCTCTGCCGGTAGACACGCTTGCGCTCCTGCTAGGTACACAGGTGGCGGGAATGCCTGCCCAGTCATCCTCGTCGCTCTGACCCCGTTGAGGTATTGTGGTAACTGTTGTTGCTATTGTTTTTTTTAGCGAAAAACCTGATAATTTGCTGTGGAAACCAAGGGGTGTGGAGCGGAACGCGAAGGTGCGGGCTCGACCGTACCATTCATCTGCGCCCCCCCCCCCCAAATCCGGTCTCCCTGAATTTGTCTTTACACGGGGTTTAGATGGGGAATGGGGAAGAGAGAATGCGGTAGATGCTGCGCAAGTCTGACTATATTTCAAACTAATTCACGCGCAATTCACCGGCCCTGCTCTCGACATGCAGTGAAGCACACGATGGACATCGTCGAACTCGACGTTCGAAATATTTATGCATGTATGCTAACAGCTAGTTGTCGCTCTGCCGGACTTCCCGTGTTGCCTTACTTATTGCTGTCCCTGCCTGCTGGGTATGTTTGCTTGTCCATTCTTACTGCTGATTGTGTCTTCTTTCCTGTCCAATTCTGCAAATATTCAACCCGAAGAATAGGGGGAAAGCTGTGCGTCTAGTCTCTGAACCCCAGTTCACAGTCCCAGGCTAACTCGGGTCGTTCTCCAACTAACCAAAATTCGTGACCCACAGTGGAGTTCCGCAACCGTCTGGGGCAACCTAGCAGTCTCATTTAGGGAGTGCATTGTGCTCCCGCAATGGGAAAAGGGGTTAGAAAAGGTGTCCTAAACAAATGATGGGAACCACGCTGTCTGAAGGCTGGCCGTGCTGTAGATATTAAACACACAGTGGAAACAATCAAATGAAAACAACAACATTGCCAAAAGAAGCGAAGAGACGAGTCCCAGGAAGATGTCTTGAAGAAGGAGACACGATCGCTGGGACAAGAGCTTTATTAACCTGACGTTTCGGATTCATGCCCGAACCCATCATCAGGGACAAAAAAGCAGATACGGGTGGTTCATGCACAAGGGGCTGCAGTATTTATAGGATGCATTAGCCATGCTACCACATACCTATGAACCTTAAAGGCCCTCCTCCATCAGGGATCGTTGCACGTGGTGTGATGACTGTTTGATTGCCGACATTCGCGTCATTAATTGTCGCAGTCTCATCACGTGCGTTGAATGTTGTGCGGTGATTGCTCGGCCATCTGACCCACCGACCCTGGAGTTGCGAAAAGTGTTCACATGTGCGCTGCCCGCGTGGCTAATTACTCCGCCCATTCGAAGTCTCAGCAACGAGTATGAAAGGGGAAATTATTGCACTTGTTAATGGACTGGGGACCAGTAAACCATGATTAAAGTCGCTCCCGGCTCACGCGGTTGTCACCACTTGCGAGAATTTCGGATTCGTCGAGTTGGAATGTATGGCCGGATCTCGTCGAATGAGCCGCAACTTGAGAGCTGACGTCCTTTCTCCGCACCGCTGCAGCCTTTTCGGCCATTCTCATTCAGAGCTGTCTTCCGGTATCTCCGACATAATTGCTTTGTCCGAAACTGCACCAGGTCCGACAAACGACTCCATAATTTCTTGCCATGGCAGCGGGTCTTTCGATTTCATTATCTGACGCCTGATGCCTTCCTCAGGTCTGTGTGTAACTCCAACCCCGAATAGTGCGAGAAGGCGGCCGACAGCTTCCGAAACTTTCTTGACATACGATGGCGCTCGCCAAAATTTGGTGTCCGTGCAGTTAGGCCTTTCGTTCCTTTTGCATTAGCACCGGTTGACGAAGTTGCGCGGGCAGCCATTGGCTTTGAAAACCCGTCGGAGGTATTGTAGTTCAGCACTCTTGTTCAGTTCAGTTTACTGAGGGAAATAGGCGTAAGCCTATGGGTACCCTAGTTGTTACGTAAAAAATGTGTGGTGTACAGATAGATGTTCTGGGCTGAAATAGTTAGAACACGCCCATAATGGTGGGACAAAATGAGAAGGAGTTACAGGGGTTGTGCTCGACTTCTCATCGCTCTTGGTCATTTCGGAACATAAATATGTCCAGATTCTTCTTAAAACTTTGCATAGATGCTGACATCACAACATCTGCGGGAAGCTCATCCCATGGTTTGACCACCCGAACCGAGAAGGAGAACTTCCGCACATCCAGCCGTGCCTGCGGAGGGCGCAGTTTTAACGGGTGACCTCGGAGGTTGGTCGTGGTAGCAAATTCAAAAAAGTCCTCGAAGGCCAGACTGCAATCCAACCCCTTTACAATGCGGAAGGCTTGCAAAAGATCTCCGCGAAGTTGCCTGTAACTCAAAGGAAAGAGGTTCAGATTTACTAGGCGGGTTGCATAAGGAAAGGAGCTTTGACCCTAACCATCTTCGTGGCTCTCCTCTGGACTATTTCGAGGCAGTTTTGATCCACAACAGTCCACGGCCTCCAAGCTTGTATGCCGTACTCTAAATGCGGCCGGACGAATGTTCCGAATGCCTTAGAGAAGGCTTCTTCGTCAAAGTCCATAAACGCACGCTTGATGGCGTACATTGCGCTTTTTGCCACCCTCGAACAGTGGGCGGATGGTTTTAGGGAACTCGTCGTAAGCACACCGAGGTCCTTTTGGGCTTCGAACTTTTGTAGGGCTGCACCGCCCAGAAAGTAGCCTCTTGTGCTGGCGGATCTGGCTGTGTTGCCTAGGCGAAGTATGCTATATTTGGCAACGTTGAACCGCAGGAGCCAACGGTTTGACCACTCCTCCAACCGATTCAGGTTTATCTGCAGTCTGTCCTCATCGGCAGGACCCCGAATTACACTCCATATCTTCATGTCATCCGCAAACATTGCTACTTCACAGTCTAAATCTCTTGCGGCATCGTCCACGTAGATAAGGAACAAAATGGGTCCCAGTACTGAACCCTGGGGGACGCCACTATCGACCATAGCCGGATCTGATTTTCCCCGACCGATGTACACAACCTGGTGTCGACCCACAAGGAAGTTTTCGATCCATTTAAGGAAGTTGCCACCGCTCCCTTTTTTTCAGCTTATGTAAGAGCCTTTGGTGTGGCACAGTGTCGAAAGCCTTCTGGAAGTCGATGTGGACCGCGTGCCTGTCGTCGAGAGCTCGGGTCCAGCTCTGGAGAGATTGCAGCAGGTTTGTCGTGCAGGATCTTCCTTTTCGGAACCCATGTTGGCATTTCGATAGCAGGCCGTGAACTTCCAGGAATTGCATCAGTTCACTCTTTATGATCCTTTCCATAACTTTGCAGAGAATGCATGTCAAGCTTATGGGCCGGTAATTTGTCGTCACTGCCCTGTTACCTCCTTTGTGTAGTGGAGTAATATGCGCCAGCTTCCAATCGACAGGAAGTGTTCAGTGTCAAATGACGTTTGAAAGAGCATCGACAAAGGCACAGAGAGCTCACTGGCAAGTTCCTTCAGAAGCTTGGGTGGAATCTCGTCTGGTCCTGGCGAATTCCATTCGTTCAATGCCTCTAATTCTCTTCGGACAATGCCTTCTGAGAAGAGTATATCACTGACGCTTGGAGTCGGCTGTTCTTCTGTGGAGGGAGGAAGGAACCTTGCCTCGTTTGTGAAGACTGATTGGAAAAATCGTGAAAAATACGCAGCTTTATCCCTACTATCAGCGATCTCAACGCCATCAGTAGTCTTTATCAAGGGGATTTGATGCCTGTTCCTTGTACTTCGTCGGAGGTAGCTGTAGAGCAATTTTGGGTTCTGCGTTGCTTTTTGTAGCAAGCTCTTCTCGAATTCCCGCCGCGTCTGCGTTATCAGCCTCCTCAGTTTTTTCCTCTGTGTCTTGTAGGTGTTGAAGCATTCAGCTTGTCTAGTGACGCAGTATTTTCTCCACAATTTGTGCTTCCTGTTGATTTCTTTCTTGAGGTTGCTTTTTAGCCACCCAGGGCGTTTGTTCAGTCTTACACTAGTCAGTGGGCAGTGGTTGTTGATGAGCTGCAGAAGGACATTCTTGAACAGCTCCTAGTCATCGTTGGCACTTCCCGTAAACAATGCGCCACAGTCAAGACCGGATAAGTCTGCCCTCATCTGATTGAAGTCGCCCCGCCAAACATTACGTCTTTTGTGATCTGGAGTATATGAAATGGGGAATAACGAATAATCCCACATAAGCACTACGTGGTCACTTCGGCCAAGGGGCGGCATGGAGGCGATCTCGCCTATGCTGTCTGGTGTTTTCGTAAAGCCCAGATCCAGGCAGTTTGCTCTTTGTCCTTCACGTGTTCTCGTTGGGAACATTACATGTTGTGTGAGGCACGCATTTAATGTTTTGCTTAACAGGCGGCAATCGAATGCCGATTTTGGACTTGACGCTTGGAGGGTATTCCAGTTTGTTCCTGGTGCGTTGAAGTCGCCCATGGTCGTGATGTTAGGTCGACTGGAAAATTTCTCCAACTGCTCCAAAAGTTGAGTGTCGGCGATTCTGTCTGTCCTAGGTGGTCGGTAGACAGTGAGGGCATCGAGACACGGGGAACCGGTAGCCTTGATGGTCAACCAGAGAGCTTCGGTACTGCACGCAAACTTGGTGGTGTTATCCGACACTGCCAGACCTTCATTCACATACACAACGATATCACCCCCCTGACGATGTTCCCTGTCCCTCCGATAAATTTGGTATCCAGGCAAGGCTACTTCGTTATCGTGAATATTCCCGGACAGCCAGGTCTCAGTTACTGCTAAAACATCTGGAGACAGCTCGGCAAGGCAAAGTTTTAGTTCGTCTAGTTTCGATATGAGGCTTTAGGCATTCGTGTACAAGCACCTCAGTTTAGCACCAGCCGAATTTCCCGTTGCATTTGTTACTGCTGTGAGCATTACTCCGTTATCGCGGACGTCGTGTTCTCTAGGCTCTTCCATTACCTGATTGGTTCCATTTACATGCCTTGTTTCAGTCAGATCACTGGACGCTACGGGCTCACTTGTGTTGGCGCTTTGATCAGGTGGTTCAACGAAGGTGTCTGTTTTAGCTGAGTAGCTGTCGTCGTTCGTAGTATCACAGGCTGGTTCCACTGAAACGGCATATATTTCCGAACTACCTTCCCCTTGAAGATAGCCAGATTGTGTTTGCCATCCTTCAGTCTTGATTTTAACTCCAAGACAAGTTCCCGGCGTTTCAACCGTTCCGCTGGTGAATAGTCCGGTTGAAAAAACCTGTTTGTGTGTGTTTCTGAGATCGGTTTCGACACGCCGATAGAGCATCCTTACACAACTGCGTTTGTGGCTGATTGGGTGGTTGCTGTTGAAGTTCAGTACTTGCATCGTATTTGTCGCTTTCCTGAACACTTTTGTCCCTAGTCCACCACAATCCTTGCGACATATGACGACATTCGGGAAGACCAGCTGGTTGCTTCTTCCTCCTCCATCGTAAATTATATGTCCGGGAAGACCGCATTGAGATGTTCGTTAAATGTCAGCAGTTGATCCCTCTCTGAACACTATGGCCGGTCTCACCAGCTGTTCCTCAACGCCTCTACTTTGACTATCCCCAACTTCATGAAAGGAATTTGACGTCCGATAATCTCCGATACCGTGCAACCTCCCCCCCTTCTTGACGGTCGATATTCTACCACCGCCGACAGTTTTTTTCTCCTGAGCCCTCCAAACCACAAAAACCACCATCAACTATATTTTTATCCCTTAAGCTCAGGAGTTTTTTTTCACTGCTGGTCGGATTTGTGTTTAATCGCTTCCCTTGACAATGCCTGTAAACTGGCATTAAATTAAAAATTTATTTATTTAATTTATAACGACAAAGGTATCATCCCCATACCGGGCCGAGAACTTCGGTTTCTGGCGTTGAAAGACTAACGAGTCCAGCCATTAATGAACCATCTAGACTATGAGTACCGAAATCGGCGAATCCATTGGTGTGCCCTTCACCTGTTCGTGGATTGTTCCTTCGAACGTGAAGTACATACTGAGACGGAACTTCAGGAGCTGAAGGACTTGGGCGTGTCCAAGACGATTCGCCATTTCATCGTATTTGCTTAGTGGAAGTAGCTCGATTGTCTCGATCGCCAAGTCCTAGGGAATAGAAGTAAAAAGGGATGTAACATCGAAAGATACCATGACCTCATTTGGATGGAGGTTGACCTCCTTGAGTTTCTCCAGGAATTGTGCTGACAAAGAGACCGTGACGTTTGACCCAACGGTCAGAAACTTGAGACACCGGAACAGCCACTTAGCCAGTCCGTCCTGGGGTATCGCCATGCCTCTGTCCATCGGTGTTATTGAACCTGAGTTCTTCAAGGCCAACTACGTAGCATTAGTTTTGCGTGTCAGCACTTTTAAGGGGTTCGTCGCACATGGGACATAGAACTGTCGGTCCTCCAGCAAACCTTCGGCTTTTTAAAGGTAGTCTGTCCTGTTCAGTACAACAGTGGCGTGACCCTTGTCCGTTGGCACGATGACCAGGCCCTTGTCGGCCTTCAGTTCTCCATGCGCATCACGTTTGACCTTGGAAAGCACTTCCCACGGTCTGTGGGCCATTAGAAGAGACGACGCTTGATGTCGGATGAGGCTCTTATTCTCCTCCGTTGTCTTCGTCTGACTAAGGTTTGATTTTACCGCTTCAATCATGCTAACAGGTTTTGCGTCAGCCGTGTTAAATGAAGATTCGTGCCGTAAAACCTGCATCTAATCCTTCGTCAGCTCCTTTGACGACAGGTTGTGCACCAGTTTGTCGTTTCTGGGCGGCGTTGAATTGGGCAGCTTTCGCAATTTGAATAGTTTCTTCGTCCAACAGTGAGGAGCCGTTCTTCCATGCACTCTCTTCGGTCCGATTCCAATTTCTTGAAAAGTGATAGAGACTGAAAATATCCGATGCAGTTCCAACCATTTCATCTCCGAATAAGGTCATTTTACGGGCAGCAGTTCTTTCTCCTGAACCATCCAAACTATCCAAAGACACTCTCCCCTATACTTACTTCCCAGGAGCTTTTTAAATGCTATCCCGATCTGCGCTTTATCTTCCATTGACAATACCTGCAAAAAGGCGTTAGACACAATTATTATTAAAGTTTAGTCAGACAACCGCAGTATACTGCAAGAACTGTCTCCTGGGGTGATGAAGATGGAAGCACTACTTGATAAGGAATTAATGAATTCTTGTTGCGACAGTAGCCGGTATGAACTGTTTTTTATGGCATAAGACGTTCTGGTTAGTATAAGACCCATGACACCAATTGCTTCCTATATCTCAATCGTCAGGCAAACGCAGTTCGAAATCTCGCCCCGAAATACCTGGAGAAAATGGCGTTTTTTCCATCACTGAGAATAAATTTTACTGATCCATTCAGACGAATAATGAAGTCTTGTCGGATATGAGTGTGTCTCTTAATGTACAGCGGTAGTACACTCGGCATAAGTTGAACACTTGCCTAGAGTAAACTGTAGCATGTCGTTGGTGCCAAGTAGATAGTGAAGCAGCTCCAGTACAAAGTCTTTTAAGGCTATGTCACGTGCCGGGATCTCAACCGATTTAACCTATCTAGCACGTCTGGAATGTCCTTGAACCTTAAATAAGTTGGCTCAACTGACTTAGCTTCTGCCTGGATCACATTCACAGACTTTCTGAGCAAGTAGTCTGCAGTTTTCAGCGTGAACATCCTTACTGAGGTCTGGAAAGGACGTCGGAATAGATTCCACAAGTCTAGTGCACTAGTGGCCGCAATTCGCAAGGGCTTCACTCATACCGATGAGTTCACCGTTTCCAGAATAGATGCTGCAAAAATTAATGCTGTTACTCTTTTAGATATGAGTTGGGAGCCCAATAGACTTATTTCCTAAGTAACACGACTCAAAACCATGGTAAAAAACCTGCGTAGATCATGAGTATTCCCATGGAATGCAAGTGGTGAGGATTGTGGTCGGAGCCTTAAATGACCTTATTGCTGCGCAGCTGG